CTAATTCTTCCTGCATCGCAATCATCCATTTTTCTTTATCCTTATGAGATATGGCTTCTTGAAAACTCTCTGGTTCTCCATCTTCTGTCAATAGAAGGTATTCAGATGATGAGTACCTTTTTGATGGTATATGACCTCGTTCAGATCTACGAGTGGGTAGAACCATCTGAGAAGAACTTCCAACGTTGGTGTCTGGCAAAATGGGTTGTGGCTCCCCTTGCTCTGGCAAGATGGATTGTTGCTCCCCTTGCTCTGTCAAGATGGGTTGTTGCTCCCCTTGTTCTGCACTCTCTTCTGTCTCCTCGTCTCCTTCTGGTACATCATCTTCATTGTTTCTCCAGAACAATTCTGGTGCTTCATCTGAAACTTGAGCACCGACATTTGACTTCTGAGACATCTTGGGCTTTTCTATGTCTTCTATTGTCAAATTCTCTTGGAACACAACGTCCCTACTTCTGATCACTTTTTTCTCCTTTGGATCCCAAAATCTGTATCCAAACTCTTCATCTCCATAACCAATGAAAATGCATGTGATGGACCTCGCATCGAGCTTCTTTCTGAGCTCTTTGGATACATGTGCATATGCTACACAACCAAATACTCTGAGATGTGAGTATGTCGGATCCTTACCAGTCCATATTCTCTCTGGAACTTCAAAATTTAATGGAACTGAAGGTGATCGGTTGATTAGATAACATGCAGTCTTGACAGCTTCTCCCCAAAATGGCTTTGGTAATTTAGCCATATTCATCATGCTTCGGACACGCTCCATGATAGTCCGATTCATTCTTTCAGCAACGCCGTTGTGCTGAGGGGTACGTGGTACTGACTTCTCATGTCGAATGCCATATGTAAGACAATATGCATTGAACTCCTTTGAAGTATACTCGCCTCCATTATCAGATCGGAGACATTTTAGCTTCTTTCCTGTTTCACGTTCCACCATGACGTGAAATGACTTGAAGTACTCGAACACCTGGTCCTTCGTATTCAGGAAATATACCCACACCTTTCGAGAAGCATCATCAATGAAAGTCAGAAAGTATCTGCTTCCACCCAGTGATTCAACCTCCATAGGACCGCAAACATCAGAGTGTACCAAGCTTAACAACTCTGATCTCTTTGTTGAATTTGTATTGAATGAGACTCTGTGCTGCTTGCCGAACAGGCAATGACTACAAGAACCCAAAGCAGCACTTTTATCAACCTTGATAAGATCTTTCTTCATTAGGGTAGTCAACCCTTTCTCACTCATATGGCCAAGTCTCTGGTGCCATAGATCCTGGGAAGCCTCCTCTGCAACATTGAGACTTTCTGTACTGATCTTCAAATGTGTTTTGTACAGCGTCCCACAAACATGTCCTCGGGCAATTTTCAAAACACCCTTTGACAACTTCCATGTGCCTGCACCAAAGTGATTGTCATATCCTTCTTTGTCAAGAGCCACCACTGACAAAAGATTCAGTCTAAGATCCGGCACATGTCTAACATCCTTCAATAGGATTGTACTCCCGGTTCCTGTCGTCGCATGGATATCACCAATTCCAGCAATATTAGAGGAACTGGAATTTCCCATTTTCACCGATCCAAAGTCTCCAGCTTGGTATGTTGTGAAGTATTTCCTGTTGGGAGTAACGTGATAGGATGCTGCAGTATCTACCACCCATTCCATGTCTTCTCGTGAAACATGAAGGCATGTCTCACCGTGGGTAGAGCAATATGCTACCTCCCCTGAGACAGTGATGAGAGTTTCACCACCCTTGCCCTTGTTCTTCTGCTGAGAACTATTCTTCGGCTGAGAATTGCTCTTGCCCTGCTCCTCGAGCCATTTATAACAATTCTTCTTCATATGACCTTCTAGACCACAATGATAGCACACATGTGATCTCCGATCATCTGATTGCCTCCCCTTGCTTCTACCCCTGCTCTTCCCTCTACCGCTTCTTTGTTGCTTGCCTTGTGGTCTTCCTCGATTCTCCATTACAAGGGCATGGGTCTGATCTGTGCCCATGTCTTTCCTTCTTGCCTCTTCATTGAATAAGGCATCCTTCACAACGGACATGGAAAGTTTGCCGTTTGAGGCTGAATTGCTGAGAGTAACAACGAGTGTTTCCCAGCTATCAGGAAGGGAACTAAGAAGTAGCAGAGATTGCATTTCATCTCCAAGCGGCATCTCCACACAAGATAGTTGATTTACCAGGCTCTGGAACTCACTGGTATGCTCGGCAACAGAAGTTCCACTTTTCAACTTCATATTGACTAAGCGCCTCATCAATAAGGCCTTATT